CACCTGCACCTACTAGGGTAGCAGTACCTACTGGGGTACCTGTAGCTACTAGGGTAGCAGCACCTATGGGGGTACCTGCACCTACTAGGGTAACAGCACCTACTGGGGTACTTGCACCTACTGGGGCAGCTGCACCGACTGGGGTAGCAGTACCTACTGTGGCAGCTGCACCAACTGGGTTAGCAGCACCTACTGGGGTAGCTGCACTGACTGGAGCTGCAGAGGCTCCTGGGACTTCAGGGTCTCCTAGGACAGTGGCAGTTCCTGGAGCAGCAGCTGCCAAGAAAGCAACCCCTGGGGCTCATACAGGAGCTATACCTAAGGCTGGGGCAGCAGCTGGAGCTGTACCCAAAGGTGGAGCCAAAGGTGGAGCCAAAGGTGGAACCAGGTCCCGGAATGGGGGAAAGGGGAAGGGCAAGAAAAACAAGGTGGAAGTAGATGAACTCGGAATGGGCTTCCGCCCTGGAGATGGGGCTGCAGCTGCTGCTGCAGCCTCTGCTAATGGGGGACAAGCCTTTCTGGCAGAAGTCCCTGACTCTGAGGAAGGGGAGTCCGGATGGACTGACACAGAGTCAGATTCAGACTCTGAGCCTGAGACCCAGCGTAGAGGGAGGGGTAAACGACCTGTTCCCATGCAGAAGCGCCCCTTTCCTTATGAAATTGATGAGATTCTGGGTGTTCGAGATCTCAGGAAAGTCCTTGCCTTGCTTCAGAAATCAGATGATCCTTTCATCCAGCAGGTAGCTTTACTCACTCTGAGCAACAATGCCAATTATTCATGTAATCAAGAGACAATTCGCAAATTGGGAGGCCTCCCAATTATTGCAAACATGATCAACAAAACTGATCCTCATATTAAGGAAAAAGCCTTAATGGCCATGAATAACCTGAGTGAGAATTATGAAAATCAGGGATGGCTTCAGATATACATGAACAAAGTGATGGATGATATTATGGCCTCTAACCTGAACTCAGCAGTACAGGTAGTTGGACTAAAATTTTTAACAAACATGACTATTACTAATGACTACCAGCACCTGCTTGTCAATTCCATTGCAAACTTCTTCCGTTTGCTATCTCAGGGAGGTGGAAAAATCAAGGTTGAGATATTGAAAATACTTTCGAATTTTGCTGAAAATCCAGATATGCTCAAAAAGCTTCTCAGTACCCAAGTGCCAGCATCATTTAGTTCCCTCTATAATTCTTACGTGGAATCAGAAATTCTTATTAATGCTCTTACTCTGTTTGAGATCATCTATGACAATCTCAGAGCAGAAGTGTTCAACTACAGAGAATTCAATAAAGGTTCCCTTTTCTACTTATGTACTACATCTGGAGTGTGCGTTAAGAAAATTCGAGCCTTAGCAAATCACCATGACCTCTTGGTGAAAGTGAAAGTTATAAAACTAGTGAACAAATTCTGACTGGCTATGTGCTTTCAAACAAATGGAAGAAATGTCTTGGTTTTGCAGTCTGGAGGCATTGAAAATTGAAAGTTACTACTTTCCCCCTTGCTCATATAGTAAAGGGATCCTTTCAGCTGCCAGTTTTGAATAATGTATCATCCAAAGTGATGTTATCTGTGACAGTCACCTGCTTTAAGCTGAACCATTTTATGAATACCAAATAAATAGTCCTCTTGTACTGAAAACACATTTGTGACTTTAGTTGTGCTGCTTGGAAGGAAATATTTTTACTGATTCCTCTGTGAATTGACAGTGAACCTGTCCATCATGAATGGCCTACTCTTCTATTATTTGTTTCCACTTGAATTTATCCACCAAAGATTTTATTTGTATATCATCAATAAAGTTGTATGTTTCAACTGACAAAAAATTGTTCTAGTGCTTGAATTTAAAATCTAGCTGGAGAGATAAGATACACAAATACAAAAGGATTACTAAGAGTATGCTGGCATGTGCTCATTGTCAAATATATGCTATCTGGTTAAATGAAACAGAGCTTGCTGAGAAAGCTTCAAACTTAAGGGCACATTTAAGCTGAGCCTGAAAGACAGCGTAGAAGGGCATTCCAGGAGGGAAAACTGGTTTGAAAAGGCATGGAGGTGAAAAATCTGCTCCTGTGATAGGAAAGGCATGTTTCAATTACATGATATATTGTTATATTGTTATCAACTGTATTTACCATGCTGTACAGTATACCTCTTAGTTTTCGAACAGTTGTATAGTATTTTAAAACAAAGAAAAACTGCTTTGGAAAAGCATGGAGATGAAAAATCTGTTCCTGTGATAGGAAAGAAACCAGTTGTCCTAGAATAGAAAACATGGGATAAGGAGTGATGAGAGAAAAAGGTGAAATTCAGGCAGCGCCTGTGGCTCAGCTGGTAGGGTGCTGGCCCCATATACCGAGGGTGGTGGGTTCAAACCCAGCCACGGCCAAAATGCAACAACAACAGCAACAACAAAAAAGGTGAAAATTCAGGGTGAGGAAAGTTTGAGGAAGATACTTGATCCCAAGCTGAAATAGTGAGACATTATCCCATCATATTTTGGGAGTCCTTGGACATCTTTCACAAAAGGAAAAATAATTTGGTAGAAATATGCAAGATGTATTGGAGTTGGGGTGGGGCCAGGGTTGGAGACTGGAAACAAGGACACTCTTTAAAAAGTTAGAATAATGGGCTCGGCGCCTCTGGCTCAAGCGGCTAAGGTGCCAGCCACATACACCTGAACTGGCAGGTTCGAATCCAGCCTGGGCCAAAAAATGACGGCTGCAACCAAAAAATAGCAGGGCGTTGTGGCGGGCGCCTGTAGTCCCAGCTACTTGGGAGGCAGAGGTAGGAGAATCGCTTGAGCCCAGGAGTTGGAGGTTGCTGTGAGCTGTGATGCCAGGACACTCTACCCAGGATGACAGCTTGAGGCTCTGTAAAAAAAAAAAAAGTTAGAATAACGGGTGGCACCTGTGGTTCAAAAGAGTAGGGCGCCGGCCCCATATGCTGGAGATGGTGGGTTCAAACCAAGCCCCAGCCAAAAACTGCAAAAAAAAAAAAAAATTAGAATAAATCAAGCATGAGAAGTTGTGGGACGAAAATGGGGTGATGAGGAAAGGAGCTGTTATGGTATGATAGTAATAAGAGACTTACAAAAAAAAAAGAAAAGGACCAAGATCTGCCACTTGACATTTGGTTGTGGGTCAACAAAGAGAGACAACTGTGTGACTCCATGTAGGTCCTGACAGGGAAAGTCTCCCTTTTAGGGGCAACTGTGGAGACAGCAACACCAAACTGAGTCACCATTTGAAACCAGACAAAGCAGTTTGGCAGAAAGAATAACTCTCAGATAAGAGCACTGGTTGGTTCTGTAGATTTAAGGGTGTGGTGGGTCAGCCTTCTTTTAGAAGAGGGGGCGTGGTGAGGCCTTTATGGGACCCCACACCCAGTTCACTTAAGAGCAGGTGTACCTTCCTTCCCTCTCTGGCACAGTTGTGAAATGAAAATAGAAAATGGGGGGAGTCCTAGGGATTTTCCAAACCCAGCCTGCTTTCTCAAACCCTCTCACAAAAATGTTTGTGTAAGTATATGGCAGGCTGTTGCAAGAATAGAAATAGGGAGCCCTGGGAGGAAATCATATTGAAAAGGTGGAGCTGGGTATGGGGGCTGACCCCTGTAATCCTAGCACTCTGGGAGGCAAAGGCAGGTGGATTGCTTGAGCTTAGGAGTTCCAGACTAGCCTGAGCAAGAGCGAGACCCCATCTCTACTAAAAACAGAAAAATTAGCCGGGCATTGTGGTGGGTGCCTGTAGTCTCAGCTACTCGGGAGGCTGAGGCAAAAGGAGCTCTTGAGCATAAGAGTTTGAGGTAGCTGTAAGTTATAACACCATAGCACTCTACCCAGGGCAACAGAGGGGGACTGTCTCTCAAAGAAAAAAAAAATGGAAAGAAAAGGTGTAGACCGGCATTATATACTGATACAACTTATCTGGAGAGCAATTTGGAAATATTCATAAGAAGTTTGAAATATCTACCTGTCCTTCAGCCAAGTATTCCACTTGTAGGTTTTTTCCCTAAGAAAATAATGAAATAATTGTACACATAGGAATATACCAGGTTGTTCATTTCAACACTGTTTCTAAGAAAGGAAAATCAGAAGCAACTTAAATGTCTAATATTATGAAATTGGCTAAACAATAGACAGTATGTTCATGAGGTAAAATACTATACAACTGTTAAAAACTAAGAAATACACTGTACAGCATGGTGAATACAGTTCATAACAATATATTATATACTTGAGAATTGCTGAGAATAGATTTTAAGTGTTCTAACTATAAAATGTGAGAACTATCTGAAATAATACGTATGTTAATTAGCTATATATAAACATCAACTTGTATCTCATATCCCAAATATATGCAATTTTTGTCTATTAAAAATAAATTTTACAAAACATTTACCATATGAAAAGGCCTGTGGCATCAGTCAAAAAGGTTCACACAATTGAATTTGGGTGAAAATTCTTTCAGATGTTTATTTTTGTACATATCTGTAGATTTTTTACATAGCATTGGAATCATATCGTACATCGCTGGTTCTCAACATGCAGTCCCTGGACTACTGCAGGTCCCTGAAAGTATAAGGTCAAAACTATTTTTAAAACAATGCTGACATGTTATTTACTGTTTTCACTAGGTTGACATTTACAGTGATGGTGCAAAAGCAATGGTAAGAAAAATTGCTGTTTCCTGAGCACACATTAATGCAGTGTCCCCAAACTATACTAGTGGTGATTGCATTATTTACAGCTACAGACAAAAATTTTTAATCCAGTTTTATTTTAAAATATCCTTAATAACATCCTCATTTATAAAAGTTCAGTAAACCAGGCGGTACCTTTGGCTCATAGGAGTAGGGCACCAGCCCTATTTGCCAGAGGTGGCAGGTTCAAATCCAGCCCTGGCCAAAAACTAAAAAAATGTTCAGTAGACCTCTGTAAGTTGATCACTAAGGGGACTGTAACAGACTGGTCAACATACGGAGGTGGTCAACATAAGGAACTAGGCCTTCTGTACTATGAAAATTAAGTCAATATAGGGAGGTGGTTGACTATGGAGGTTCTACTGTATAACTTTTATTAAATCTCAATGTTTGGATACATGCCGTTTTACTATGCTGTGTGATGAAATAGAAAGTATGCACAAAGCACTTTTACAGGATAGCTTAGGACAATGGTTGTGTCTAAGGAAAATATTTGCAGAATCATAAGAATTGTGCACTGAATTAGCTGCTTTTTTATGGAACATCATATTACTTGAAGAATGACTGGAAAATTATGGTGCTTCAGACTTGGGTATTTAGCAGACATTTTCTTAAAAATAAATGAAGTGAGGCTTCAAAGAAAACAACTAACAGCATTTGTCACTAACAAGAAAATTTGAGCTTTCAAGTAAAATTGGAATTTTGGAAAGCTTGCATCCACAACCATAAGCTTGACAATTTATAATACTTGAAGATTTTTCTGAAGAGATCAGTGGTGATGATAATAATGAAGAGGAGGGCCTCTGTTTTCTTTTTCTCCTTCTAGAGGAAAATTGATATAGAACCCTAGGGCCTAATGTTGAGCATACTCAGTTTAAGATTAACTGAGACCATTGCAACCCATATGACACTGTGCCTGTGATTATTTAATAAAGAATACTGTTGCTGTGGTAACAAGATGACCCTGGATAAGGCTAGACCCGAGTATTTTTAAGCCCTACTAAAAAGAAACTGGAAAGATGTCAGTCCTGAAAGAGTGATATGTTTTTCTGGGTGAAATAGAGCTAGCATTTGAGCTCATATATGCAAGATAGATGGATCAGCATTTCTTGGCTTGATTCCAGCTATTCAGATAATCCAACCACGGCTTCCTTTGCTCTGATTAACAGTGGAAATTTCTATCTCTTTCAGGTGAAACATACCCCCCTACAGAGCTGTGTAGTCTGACCTAATGAGTGAGCTAAAAATCATACAATAGGCAAATATGTCATTTTCAAAAGTGGGGGTGTGTAAGGGGGGGGGTTGCTTTAAATCACATCACATGTGCAAGAACAAAAGCATAGTCCAGGTGTGACTGAGACTTAAAAGAGTAGTTCATTGAAAGATGTAACTTAGTAAAATAATAACAATAAGCACCAGGAATTGAGTCACAATTATGTATCGTTCTATTATTTCTGAAATGTGACTATTGAAACATTCTTTTTTTTTTTTTTGAGACAGAGCCTCAAGCTGTCCCCCTGGGTAGAGTGCTGTGGCATCACAGCTCACAGCAACCTCCAACTCCTGGGCTCAAGCGAGTCTCCTGCCTCAGCCTCCCAAGTAGCTGGGACCACAGGCACCTGCCACAATGCCCGGCTATTTTTTGGTTGCAGCCATCATTGTTATTTGGTGGGCCTGGGCTGGATTTGAACCCGCCACCTTAGGTGTATGTGGCTGGCGCCACTTGAGCCATAGGCGCTGAGCCAGAAACATTCTTTAGACATCCTGTGCTATGTAGCTTTTAGCTTTTATGTTGTGTGTCCAGGGCATGAGTGAAGTGGTACAGTTCTCACAACTATCTTTGCACTAAATGATGTTCTTTTCCTCGCTTTAATTTAGAGACTTAGGTAAAAAGCTAGATCGGGAAGAAGTCCTGTTCTCTTTTTGTAAAAGAATAT